CTTTATTTATGGGCCCGAATCTCGCGTAAAACTTTTTCTCAATGTCCGCGTCTATTGAAAACACTGAGGCACGAAAAGAAAAACGCTTTTACGGCGCGGGGAAAAGAAAAGCCCTAAAAACACTTACGGACGGACAAAAATCATATAATCGCCGTTATTCATTATCAAAACGGACACATAGAAACGTTCCATGGATCTCCGAGCGAAGTCACTTCACCAACTGAACATAACGATATTTCAGAACCAATCTCCAACATAATCAAAGGTGTCGATAACAAGGTAGGCGATTTAAGCGCCCGAATGAGCGACCTTAGCACCTTTACAACCCCCCACACCCCCACCTCCATCAACAACAACAACGTTGCAACAATGTTATCAACTTCAAAGGATTAGAGATTAAATCACCAATATGAGAAAGGCGAAAGACAACAAAAAGTGAATCCCCAGAAAGGCAAGTGTAGTCTAGAGCTTCTGAGTTTTTATATTGGTGGCATGACAGGGATCTAGAACTGGTTTGGTCATTCAGGTCTAAAAGGCGAGCCACAATAGTAATTTTTGAATCTTTTTCTATTAGGGTTCACCGACATGATTATAAGTTGGCTTTTACTATTCCTATGTCTGAAGAAGTGCAGGCCGCGACGCGTTCTCTACCTTTCTTTAGTTACATATACTGTAACTAATTGCTTAACTATGGCCAATTATTATAATCGCTATTTTGATGAGACTCATGTTAGGGACTGGTCAGTTCTTAACTTCCATGAAAGTTGGATCGATTCACACAGCACTGAACAACTATCTTATACCAAAGCTATGGATGCAATTATCAAAAGTCTCCGTTCGATTGCTCAACAGAGTCCAGATTATTTAAAAATCAAACAAGCTAATGAACTCTTATCCGAAATTCAGGCAAGCATTATCTCTACTGATATGGTAAATTGTCCACTGTATATGGTAAATGTCCTCCGCAGTAGTCTTTTTGTCGACTGTGGTTGACCACAACAAGGTCCTTGTTATTATGATTAATATTAATACTCATGATATGCATTAAACCCCTTTTTGTACCAGGTTAACGCAATAATTCGATAGCGTATACACGTGACCTTACAGAACCAAATTAAATTCCAGTGTCAGATGTCTTCTGGGATCCCCCAATTGTGAGGGGAGTTCTGGCAATAGGGACATGATTAGTAGAGTTGAAATGCTGATCATAGATAATGTTGATTTGGAGGAAATTTTTGAAGATTACCATAAGGAGTGTGATGACGTTTTTGAGTAAGTCGAATCTGTTTTATAACAATAAGCAAAACCAGATAGTCAAAAGTCTTATTCATATTATCACTCTTTATTAGCTTATGTCATAGTGATATAATAGACTTTAGGCCTGGTTCAAAATTTATTGTTAGAGCCGACATCATCGATTTCGCGATTTAAAAATATGCCGCATCCGAAATGTTGGTGTAATAGTAACGGACATTTAACATTCATTGACGGCAAGATTCTTTAACAGAATGGATAGAGACCTGGCACGAGCTTTATGTTGACAGCGAAAACAGTGGAAATCAATGATGTGATATATAATATTCTTACACCATGGTATGTTAAACTTTAAGGTCTTCCCATATTCTTAGACTATTACATAATAACATTTTAATTGTTACGGTCGGATGGTCTGGGTTTTGGGAGAGCAATTAATCCGTCGCGTAGGGGTGTTCTTCCGACCGGGGGATGTTACCAGATTAGGTTACCGCCCTTAATACGGTAGTTGTTCAATTAAGACTGAATTCTAATCTACAAATGACCTATTTATATAATTAAATTAAATGCGCGCTTTTTAACTCCCTATCCGAGCTTCAAATCACTCGTGATTCCAAATAAGGGTACCCACAATAAAATAACAACAACAATTATTATATTGCGGAATCGAAGGGGAATAAATTCTATTTAATATTAAACAGGGCTATCTTCGATTTGGTATTTCGACTAGTCTGAAACTAATTAAACAATATTCGTTTTTAATAAATAATTAATGACTCTCGTTCCTCTATTAAGAGTACTAGATCGGCGGAAATTTATACGGCTTAAGTGAGTTGTTTTTACAGCTTGAGTGAGCTATTTTTACAACTTGAGTGAGCCGTTTATTAATAACCGGTTAAATAATTAATATTGCAACGATGAAAGAAAGTAAAATTTCGAGTTTTCAAAGGGGATCGTTTATTATTATTCCATGGAGTGGGAATTATTGTTCTAATAGCCTGAACAGCATTTTATAATATGAACAATATTTACAACATTAAAAACATGAACATTAAGAACATATAACATATACAACATGAGAATTTGACGATGGGGTGAGGGCCGCTTGTATAACCCGCGATTACCAAAAATTGCAACAAAAGGAATCAGTAATAGATTTTAAGTTAACTAGTGGCACCGATGCTCAAAATATGCAACGCGTACCACTATTACTATACCAAAATTAATTGTTGATCATGACTGCGGAGGAAGATTTTACCACGTGACTCACTTATCTGATTCATCAGATCGGCTTGCCGTAAATATACCATCAAATTCACGGATGAAGCTTTGATTGAGAATTCAGAGGAATATCATGCAATGCACAAGAGCGTGAAAAAGGTATTAGGTGTTATCATGGCTTTATGTTGTAATAGGGATAGTACCCAACTTTGTAATTTATTTTTCATGTGTGACACTGGGCTCTGCCCATTAACAAGAAATAAAATTTCCCAATGTATCAGACAACATGGGTGTGATACCTAACATTGTGTTCTCATGATAGAAATTGGTGTAATGCTGACCTGCAAAGTGTAAAGCAAGATGTGCAAAGTGCACTTTATTTTTTTACAGAATGTGATAACATACTTCTACAGTTATGCTAAAATGTAACATAAAAGGATCCCTACTATAATGTGAATAAAACTGACTTTTTTCTCCATTGATGCTTCACATCTATGGTAAGTTGAATCCTTGCCATGCTACAAATTGAAGTTCCCACAAATCTAAGTTGAATCCACCAACTGCTGATGTGGGAACACCAGTAGGATCCCCATCAAAGAGTTCTGTTGCTGGAATGTTCATTTGGTAGGCTGGAATGCCAGCCCTTGCACAAGGAGGGAAAGAATTATTATTAGCATCAGAAAGTCCAACACCAGTAAAGAGATGAGGAGGAACACCCATAATATTGGAGACGTAGTTCTTATGAGAATGTGAAGGTGGTGCTGTCCCAAAAGACCTGATGTCAACTGGAATCAGTGGTGTCAGACTCGTACGAAGGTACAGGGCAATGATTATCGCGATAGTATTATCCCTACAAGGCTCATTTAACTTAACAGCCAGCACAATCTGAATTGTGGTTCGAGGATTAAAGTAGAGTGCTACCTTTCAATGCAGGTCAGAGAGGGTCTGCATGTGACCGACTTCGATTACCATGGTTGGGTATGCTGTACCACGTCTATCCATTGCTTGTGCAGGTGGAGGCCGAGGACGCCGTAACAGTCGGACCATTGAATCAGGCTCCTTTGCAGTGTTTGGGCCCAGAATCATGGTCGCATCGTCGAAATACAGCAAGTCCCGACGGTTCCAGTTACCCATCAATATCTTGATCAATGCTGATACCCCTGCGCGGACCACTGTAGGTATTTCGTTGATTATGATTTTTCCATTACATAGATATACGCGAACCGGAAGCCTCACGTCCCTTTTGCGGTAAGTCAGAAAGTCGTCAAGTGGCACGTTTTCCTGAACGACGACTTCACTAGATCCTGGTTCCATACGTTCCTCCTCCCTTTGGGCGAATTCGAACAAGGATTTCTTTGCCGACTCAACAACATCAGGAGTCAATCCAAGCTTTGTGTTATACGCGGTTTTTTTAAGCTTTTTTGTTGTACGCTGAGGAAGGTACTGAGGACACGGTGGAAGTTTCCGTGTCCGTATTGGAAGTTTCCATGTCCGTATTGGAAGTTTTCTTGCTCGGTTTTGCACTCACCGAATACGGACGATAACGATAATCTGAGGCGTTGTCTGAAGCGTTTGCCATCGACATTTTCCTAATATAGACCTTGAAATGTGTGACAAATAAAATAAATATGAAAAGGTGAGTCAATAGGCGCCAGTAAAAGTTTCCCAGTGTTATAAACCTACTTTTAAGTGCCGTCCGTAGAGCGACAAAGGATAAAAAATTTTACGCCTCTTTTGGTTTGAGTATTTATGACAAAAAAGTGATACCGCGCAGTAGTGATCGCGTAGTAGTGACAGTAGTGATCGCAGTAGTGATTGTTACCTAGCACCACCAAAAAACGGCAGGTCATGCGTCCACCTCTCAATAAGCTTGCCAATATTATTCTCCAGTGTAGGCGCTTGTCAGGATCAGCATCACAACACCACTCGGCAAGTTTCTTCTGGTGCAAAATCAGGCATAATAAATCTTATCGAACTGCCTATATCTAAATCAGAGGCAACCGAATACATAATAATACCAAATTCATATATTAATATGTCTGATTTCTGAGTAAATTTGCTAGTATGGAAGACTTCCGCCGCAATAAAGGGTAAAACGCCTCGAATGGTTGATTCACGCGATTTCACCGCATATGTATGACAAACTCGATTGAGAATCTTTTTCTACACATGTCAATGTTTCCGGCATGATGCACAAATCCTGCATGCAGATCATACGCAATATACTTCAAGTAAGTATCCAAATAAGACAAAAGATTACCGTTGTTAGCATATTGCATAACAATAATGTACTCTGGGTCTTGTGTGACTCTATAAATTGCTTTCATTACAATTAATCTCGCATAACTAAATTTTTTTATCTATCTCAATATTAGATATTAATATGCTTATTAATATCAACATGCAAGTGAAACAATACATGCAACGTATCTTATTAATAAAGAGGTCTAAAAGGCAAATATTTTATCGGGATTTTACCATGTATTTGCGTAATCTGTTCATCCGTCAATCGCATGCGTGTATATTTTAACAAATCCAAACGACATTTATATACATTAACGGTCTGTTTATCGTGAAAAACGTTGTTTGATCAAACTTTACCGACAAAGAGATTGATAACTGTTGCATGATAGCAATTTATATAATTGAGTAATTAGACATGTGATTAACATGTGGTATAACGTGAATATGCTTAATTGCATCAAAGTTCAAGTGCATAAATTCATGCCGATTTTTCTATTAAATTCACGACACAGTCCAAACGCGTAGGTTATTCTTTCCTCACTCTCCTTTGTCTAACTAGTCGCGTACACATATAATTAAAAAATGGCAAATAGTGACAATTACATGAAACATTCTCCAAAACCAATCCCTCGAACAAAGACAACGACAAGAAGAGCGCTTGTAGAAAAATGGATTAATGAACAGCAAGATTTCGCTCTTAACAGACAGTATGACAACTACCCAGACGAAAACAATTTTGCAGACACTAACGCCGACCATGCGAGGATCACTAAAAACGCCTTTGTACCGACTCTAAAGAAAACGTCTGCTGGTGGCAGGGTATCCTCAGCCAAGCAATCCCGGAAAAGAAAGCCCAAGCGCGCGACGCTTAAAAAGCCTTCACGAAAATCAGACGCAGAGAAACAAACGAATAATGAAACCACCATGCATCTGACACCTACTCGCCCGCGAGCACCTGGATCGGGGGTTATGACCAAGTTTTGGTCACCGATACTAACTAACGAGAGAATTACCCTGAAAAGAGGCCATGCACAGGGGATGTTTGGAATGTATAAAGCATCAAATGCTGTTAAAATAAGCAACAAGGCAGAAATCAGTAACGAGGCGTTAGAAACAGACAGTTCTATTTATGTCGTTAAAAGAGCGCGCAATATTGGTGATGTGAATGAAAGAGAACAGGCGAATAACAAAGACCGTAATAATGTAAATTGTGAATCGACAGGTGCCGCTGCAAATTTAAATTCCAATGCTTCCTCTCCGCCTTGCTCTCCATCAAACTCTACCATTATCGAGTCATTATTTTCACCACGTGCCGACGTAGATTTGCATAGCCAGTGGAAAACGTTCAAATCACGTTCATTGGACAAGGGAAAAGTTACGAACAAAAGCGTATTATTTAGTCGCTTTTTTGACAAGGTTAACCAAAAAAGAGAACCCCGTTATGAAGATAACAAGAATAATGCGAAAAATAAAAACGAGCACATTAATGATGAACGTAAAGACGATTGTACCCAAACGCACGAACTAGAAGATGTACAAGAAGAGGTTGTAAACCCACCCAAACAGACAAAATCTATTGAAGACACATATAATTACGCAAGCACAGTAGCAGATGAATTCAAAAAGTTACCTGCTAAGACCCTTAACACCGATAATTCTGAAGTTGAGCGTGGCATTTACAATTTTTATAACAACTGTGACAGCAATGATAAGGACTACGGCTATCACGTTAGCAATATTAACGATAATAACACCGATGACATTTTGGGGGATTGTTTCGGCGGTTACCCAGACTACAAAAGCGGTGGCTTTTTGTCCTCAACTATAATTGGCGATTGCGAAAGTCGACAAGCTCAAGCTGCAAACTGTGCAGGAAACGGGAATGTTTCTAGTCCGGCAATTCATATGTCCGGTACTTTTAATGAAAGTAATCATACTGATTACAATGGATATAACTTTATGCCAAGTTCGTCAAAAACAGATTTTCCTTGGACTAATACTGGCGAAGATGACTTGCATGCATGTGGACAATATAGATTCGAAAGTCGCTTATTTGACTGGTGGGGAGAGGATCAAAAAATATCTCCGGTAATCGGTTCGTCCTCGTTGACGTTACCGGGTTATTCTTATCAAGACTTTGAGTTATTTAGTGATGGGTGTGGAAATTTCTTTGACAAGCGTATAAATGGCGGATTTTAAAATGTAATATATAGTATGTTCTGTACCGACTATTAGATAAAATTGAATTTAAGCTCGCGACGAGTCCTCCTTATAGTCCTATCTGGCGTATATATATATTATTTCAAAAACTAAAAAGAGTTGGTGGAAAGTGGTTTGAGATGATTCAACACCTCACCTATACTGTAAATTAATCTCTAATAAAAGAGTATTTTACTTGCTTTCAGAGTTGACAATACAATGTAGAGAGATTAAAGAAAAGTCTTACGAAAGAACGGCGAGGTTATAAAAATTTTACAAATCTAGTGTCAAACCTTTTTGAATGCCCCACGTAACAATCGAACTGTTAATGCGGGCTTTGCAGACAAGTGGTATTTATTCCCTTTTTTACCAAATATTATGGCATAGGAGTGTCAATTTAACTTAAATATTGCTCCAATATTAAACTCCTCACAGTCACTGTTTTTACTGTGAAGTGTCGGATCGAAACACGCAGAGAGCGTTTGTGTGAGATTTAGCGTCTTCCAACGGAGTCTTTGACTACTCCTACTATCGATGACCTTTATCTGGGCGTAATCGGTCTTGTACACGCTATTGTTATTTAACTCGCGTACTACATCGATGGGATTAATTTCGAAAGTCTATCAGTCGAGAAAGTTTTCGTACTAAACGCGTCTATAACAATTAAATAATAATGGCAAGATTGAATTTGTTTAACCGCGAATTCACAAAGCGTTTACACTTTAACTCATGTTCGATAAAGAAACACATCAGCGAAAAACAAATAATTTAATATTTATAACACCGTTTATTAGAATATAAGAACTATTCTAAAAGGACAAATAAAGCTGGAAGATAATGTTCATTACGGAAAACTACAACTGCTTATATATCTAATTATCGTTCCACTGAACTGGTAATGAATCTCGATATATAATTTGTGCAGCTGCGTACTAAATGTCCATTGGGCTATTGAAATCCGATGCCACCGTTTTACGTTTGAACTTGGGCTTGACAGAAGTTACTTTCATAGTTTATAGCATTAAAGACAATTGCCGAGCGTTCAATCAACAAGGGAAAATATATCATCAAAGCCAGTGAAGACCTAAAGTAAAACAAAATTATAAATTAAGTTGTTGGAACAAACTCATAAAAAATAAACTACTAAGCAATTGCGCAAGATCAGATTAGGTTTCCCCCCGCTCTCATAGGTTATCTAAAATGCCAACAGTATTTGTACTAGCTACTACCATACGGGCATAACCGGCGCAGTCCATTCACCAGGGTAACCAGCTGCTACCGCACAGTCTATTCACCAGGATAGCCAGCTACTACCGCGCAGTCTATTCACCAGGGTAACCAGCTACTACCGCACAGTCTATTCACCAGGATAACCAGCTACTACCGCGCAGTCTATTCACCAGTATAGCCAGCTACTACCACAGCAGTCTATTTACCAGGATAACCAGCTACTACCACGCAGTCTATTCACCAGGATAACCAGCTACTACCACAGCAGTCCATTCACCAGGATACACTAGCTACTACCACGCGTGAAATGCCCATAACCGGCGCAGGAAGACAAACACAGTTATCGAAAAATGCCAGCGATTATTATTATGGCAACAGTATTTGTAACTAGCTACTACTCACGCGGGAAATGTTGTTATACATAACCGGCGCAGTCTATTCACTAGGATACAAACACTAGAAAACCTAACACGGTTCATCACATCTAATTTTTTTGTTTTGAAGGAAAGTTTTATACTTACTCGTTGTCTCAAACTTTTACCAGTCCCAAAGCTCTGAAGTTTCCTTTTCTCCAGGTGTCTGTAAAGGTCAGAAAAAGTTGACAGAAAACGACATCTTGAAATTGTTGTCCTTAGTTATCGACTATAAAAAGAGGTTTGTTGCAACTATTCTCGGTGCTGTCAGACCACGGATTCGATCTTTCTTTTGTCTTTCGCAGAAATGAGCGGTTTGCAAGCCATAACAATTGGAAAAAGGTACGCGTTAGAGGGATACCGTATATAAGCACCTTTTTTTTCGTGTAATACCAATCACATGTCGTACAACATGCAAATAGATATTAACTCAGCTGAAATGGTATTTTCTTTTTTATAAAGTGTCGTGTCACTGATATCTTTAGAGAGTTGTTCTTAACCGTCTTATTGAAATGATGGTGGATTGATCTGAAAATTCTCGTTCAACTGGGATAATGTGCGAATCGGAGACTTTAGGATGTACCCGTTCAATCTCTTGTTTGCATTTGGGACATCGTAAAAAAACTTTACATGTTCTTCAAAAGTACCGTACCAAAAGAGCTGACAATCGTCGGTACTAGGAATTTAGCTGCTTTCGATCTGAGTTGTGACTTCTCCTACCTACTAATAGTTAAATTACCGGATTACAGTTAGTGACCCTTTATAACACTAGGTTTTTAAACTTACGACTCACTGCGTCGATGAGTGACACTAATCCTCGATAATTAATTGTCCTCGAGTTCACTCACGGTTCCTATCGTGGGATTAATTCGACAGTCTCCCGGTTGGAATACAATGGTGTTTTCAATTACAAAAAATGCATAACAATTAATCATTGTATTTGCCACAGGACAAGAGGCGATTATTCTTAATCGATATAGGGATTAGTGGTTTCACTACTATACCGATAATTTACCAGGGAATGAATCATTAACAATATATTTCAGAGTATAAAGAACTACCCATAAAGGAGTTGAAATAATTGAGCACTTTTAACACCATGAGCACACGGAATCTACGCTGCTTTTATAGGACTAACTGATCTAATTTTAACAACGCTTATTAATTATTCTATTGTCAGTTTATTATTATTATTGTTCTGCTCTTGCCCATCTAATCAAATATTTTCTGTATCACCAATCGGCAGAAATTAAGGAGGAATATACGTCAGAATTAACACATAAGCATTTTTGAGACTTGGAATTGTGCCATCAATCCATTTCGTGAAAATATTAGTTCGAGCAAATCGCATGAATAGGGCGTTCTTACATGTACAATAAATTGTCTTTCAATGGGTTGTTATCATCCCAGTCCACTCTGGTGTAATTTTCATTATCCCATTCATATCTCAATCCATGTTCTTTGATAAATTCATCGTGCTCTTGCTTTTCTTCAAGATCGTATTCATCTGCTATTGTGCTAATATTTGCCGTATATTCTAATTCAATAAGTGATTTGTCATCGCAATTGGGTGGCTTGACGACTTTAATGACGATACAAACGTACTATTGTCGCCAATTGAGGCATAACCTACCCGGGTAGTACTTGAATGTCGATTTAAAAATCATCACTTGTTTTGGCGATTTGGAGACAAATATCCTACGTTGCAAGGTGCGTGGAAATAATGGATTTAATGTAATTATGTTGGAAAAAAGCAAGTATCTCATCCACTTTCCCTGGCTAACAGCCACATTTCTTAATTAACTCAGCATAAGCCTGTTTCTTTATATTTAGCAATTTTTGCAATTGTCAATACAGACCTTACATTACCAAAAAAGAAGACATCAATCAATAAATAAGACAGTAGCCCTTTGGGCTAAGTCAACTTTAAACCTTTTAAACAATACACAATTAATAATCAAAGCGACATTTCCTTTCCCATATATTGAGATTGAAAATAATACATCTTATTATTATTACAAAATATTTATATTTAGAAATTCCAAGATTATAATAATAATGTAAACAAAAGCAAATGATGTAAATCAATGAGATTTAATTCTTTAAAGTTATAGTTGGAATCTCGTGGGATGAAGCAGTCCAAAAATAATACTATATTATTTAAATTGCTATATCGGGTAGAATTAGAATAACAGAATAAGCTTTCAGGCCTTTACTGTCATCTAAACAGACGATTGATTTAATTGTTAATTCATCGGGGAGAGATGAATGCAAGGGTTCCTTTTGCATGACTCGGAGGGGACAGAGCAAAGAGTATAATGCGATGTGCGTATGCTATGTGAATATTCACTGCTCGCAGTAATGGTTAGCGAATCATTTGCGACCACGGTTGGAGAAAATCATAGTTATCTCTTGGTATAATCGATTGTCTAATAATTGCAGCTACTAATTATAAATTAAACAGAGAGTAATACTTAGTTCGGCTGATTAGATCCTCATCTCAGATATATCAGTGGCTGACCTCATTCTGCGTAGTACATGTTTAACAGTCGAGTCTATAGACTTCCGATCACACATCGAGTTTTACTCATCCCATCACCGTGTCAAAAAACTCTGCTGGATTCAATAAAGCACTCTTCACTTCGATTACGCACTTTATGGGACCCACGGCTGATCCGTTCTATTTACTGCATCCGATTTAACAACGAACGTAAGAGTACTTTTAATAAGTTCTGGGTTCTAAACCGTTTAAAGTGCTATTACTATGACTATTTAATCATTCAGCCTATGATGACGTAGCTTATCTATTTGTTGTCGTCAACACCATGATCAATTGTTCACCAGCTAAAAGAAAGTCACACCCCCATTCTTAACTTCATCGGTCAGGATGACATCAGAGTAATCAAACTCCTATTCAAGTGAACAATCAATGATTAAATACAGCTAAGAGACAATACAAACCTTCCCGAGAAAGCATTCCTCAATACGGAGGATGTTATTGTCAAGTCTAAAGAGGACTCGGGTGATAAGTTTATTCTTCCTACAGGAAGTGGGAAAAGAGCTAGCTCTCGGAACGTGTGAGCACGCAATTATGTGGGTCGATGAAGGTTAGGGTCTTTGTACTAATTTTAGAATATTGATTTATGTGTGACACTTCCGGACTACTGGAATATCTACATGTCAGTGACAAATTGCCGTTCTCGAGAAGACAGTATTATTAGAGACTACATTTCGAGACATCACCATCACCAAGCTGACAACGAAAGAATTTCTTCTTATGATAATAGTAGTATTGTTAATAATGGACCAATCAGAGTATTAAAAAAAGAAAATTCTTTTTCGGAAATGAACGCTAGCCCGCATGCATAGACATGTAATAGTGATAGTAAGGTTTAGATGGGGTGGGGATGAAGAAAGGTTAAAAAAGCATCAGCACAATACTAATACTGTCAATAACCCCTTGTAACAGTAGCATATCAGTGTGTTCCATATATGTTTACTATTACAATACAACTCACGTGTATGACATCTTACAATACACAATATAAATAATATAAATTATAATACACGCGCAATTTCCATTTTCCGAGGTCCTAAGATTGTCAACATTACTATCGATTGCATTCGAACCGCATGGGCAAAGTAAAAAGACGACTGAATGAAGAATCCGATAGATTTAGAACCGGATGTCGAGGATACATAAGAAGAGCCTCTGCCCGCTCTGACTTTATTACGAATTAAAGACAACTTTAGCAATCCGCCGTACTTAAAAGTCGATACATCATCTTGACCTCAGCCAAACCGCACTAAAAAACACCCCAACCCTAAAAAAAGACCCCGATTCCTAAAATGTCCATCACTCCCACAGATTTTAAACTTCAACGATCACCCATCCCCACCATAGACTCTCTTCCTGCCCTCAACGGAACCCAATTCTGGCCTACTTGTGATCCTCCACTTCACGTCAACAACGAACACCGTAAAAGCGACAATAATCTCATTAATACGTGGCAAACTCTACGAGCATTATCCTTCAAAACAATGAAAAGGTTTATTAGAAAAGGACTCAAAAAGCACAATTCAGGCTGGAGCAAAGGAAGTTCGACCAAAACAACCGAACATGAAACAAGCGTTGATAAAAAACACGAAATTGAACCGACCGTTAAAGATCAAACCAACAAGAATAGAGCGAACGAGTTAGAATACTATGAGAAGCATTACAAATATCAATACTCTTATTCCACACCATTGAATTACATGGAATATACTATTTATGAACCGCAAAATATAACTAGCGGAGGATGTATAACGGCAGACTGTACGATATCCGATTATACTACGACATCGTTTCATACGCCAGATTGTTCGTTACCATATCATAGAAAGCTCTCTTTAGAACAGAAACGCCTCTTGACTAACGTTATACTCATCAACAAACATTTACTCCTAAAACCAGTCGAAGATACAAAATCACTATCTAGACCTCCTTCGTACGAAATAGGACCACCAAAATATGACACTGATACTAGACCGCCGTCTTATAATAGTGAATGGGAAGATGAAGAGTGTGTAAAAGAGAGGGGCGAAAAGAGCACCATTATAAAGATAGAGACAGAAACTGATGGGTCGATGATTAAGGACGGGAACAGAATAGAAAATGCGTTAGACGGACACGAGAGCAAAATAGTGCACGATAAAGTTCTTCACTGTGCCAACGACGGCATAGAAAGTAAACCGTGCAAAGATATAGACACTAGAGACTTAACAGAGACTGATAGTCTGTTTCTTGATTTCTTGCTTTCAGAAACAAAGACTACCCAAGAGCATACAGAAAACGTCTGTATTTGGTGGTGGAGAGGCGAAGTTGATATTCTCGAAATTACAAAGTGCGTAGTAGTGTGAATTAGTATACTAGAGATCCATTCGCTACAGCTTTTCCAAGTTTGCTTTTATCTTTAGTGCTATACAAGAGTTATATCTTTTATCTGTGTTTATGTGTATATATATACAGTAAATATGACTTGGGCATCGTAGATAAGATTGTGTTTGTAAATAAAAGTTGACACCCAGAAGGCGTTCTATTTCGATACGGCTAACGTTCGTATATGCGGTTGCTTTGTTTGTAAATGCTTTGAATGTAGTAATTGCATTTGGCGTAACGTTCTGTAGAGGAGGAGGCGTATATACAGACTGGAGAAGCCACATTTGGGTACCGGCGTTCGTTATTCAAACTACCTTGTGATCATGGGAATCTTTCTCTTTTTTTTATTGCATATATTTACATCACAAATGGCATGTGAAACTGGTGGGTTTACCATAAATATCTAACTATATGTAGTGCCTCGCGTGCTTGTTTAACCAATAATAGATTGATCGACCAGAACTATAGTTTCCTGATAAATATAATGTTTTTATTCCAAGTTGACATTCTGTACAACAAGAAATTCAACTACCAAATTTAGCCTCGGATCCTTTACACAAATATCTGCTAATCAAAATTTCCCGCCCAGGCTATCAAGTCTAACAAGTTTCAGCATCAGTCTCACCTAATCATTCTCTGGTCTGGGGTTGACCTCCTTCTCTGGTAATCGAGAGAACAGGTGATTGTTTTCTGCGACCTCGTCCCACTCTGCTCAGGCTGATGGATTTGTCGATAATTTTCGCTGTTAGAAGAGACGCTAAAAAACGTGAGATGTCGATATTGTTCCCGTTCACAATTATTCTCAAATCTATATAGTTTGCTATTTACATAGTTGACTTCTTTGCTCGAAAATACGAGTTTACAATATAAACATTGCGCATAGTACATGCAGCAACAAATAAAGTAGTCAGTGTTTGAATGTAGAGATTTTATGACTAAGCAATAACGTCGGATAGTTTTTCCATTTGGCACGATAGTAAGAATATAAGATTATCATACAGAAAAATCAAAATAGATATAAAATAAACCAATAAGTAAACCATGACATCACTGTGCTACTTGATAATAATCCGGGATGCATAATAATACTGTATGTATACCTGCAGACGGCATGACGAAGTGATGCATCATGAGACCATTTTGCACAATCCCGACATTTAACTGGTATTCTCGACGTGCATGCAGATAACATTGTCATTCAAGACTAAACAATGAAAACTTATTCATCAGAAAGACGCCATTGTTAATGGCTGTGCAGTGGATTGACGAATAGGAAGTCCATGAAGAGACCCCAAGCAAAAGCCATCTATTTGCATTAGAATGCAATATTATTTTAAAGTTCAATCACTTGCATTAAACAAAGTATTCGTGATGCAAGGAAAAAAAAAAAAAAACTTCTTCGTTGTTGTTTTCGATTAACCATTTAAGTCTAAATGATTTTTAACTGCAAATCCTATTGGACATACCGTTATCAGTCACGTACATAAAACAGGTTTCACATTCCTTTCTTCAAAAATCTGTCGGTGTCTTGCACAATCTCTATCTCTCTGAAGTGAATCATAGTCCAAAGAATAGCCACATTGGGAGTAATCGTTATCGCGTTCGTAGCCTTTACATTGGATAGAACTGCTGCAGGATAAAACGTGTTCAGATATGTGTTCCTTTTATAAAGATAAATATGGTTAATGATTAACGTACATCAATGGTACAACGTAAACTCACCAATATAACACGCCCATTCCAATCCTGAAACGGTGACTTTTGCGATTACATTTTTATTGTTTGCGTACGTATCGTCAATTTGTTCATAGCATTAATAAACATAATTTGTATCTCTAAAAATTGTGTGATTTTTCTTAATTCCTTGGTTCGGTTTTCGAATCACATCAAAAACGGCCACGGCTATTCCATTTTGCCCTTCCTCTGTGACGGTGTAATTCACGTTCTCGACCACGTGAACTCACCCAATTATTATGTCTAAGGGATTCTTTGTCATTGCTACTACTATCGTTCCTTATAATTCTTCTACCTTCAGCATTCGTGCCTTGGGTGCCGGATCCGGAATTATACATGTCCAACCTAGTACTATTTACTTTATCAATATTAATAATCCTTCTCCGTGATCGGTATCCATAGGTGTATGACTGATCGGCTTTTGACAATCTCGGACAAAATCTCGTTTGTTTCTTGATTATCCCTACTCGTCCAATTAAAACCTATGAGTATTGAAACATCGTACACGTAATTTAACAACCACTATCGAAAAGAACGTACCCCGCTTCTCAGCATCTCGTCGCTTTTTGCTCTTCCTCCTCTTCCTCCTTTTCTTTGTTTCTTCCTTGTCATCTTTGTAGGGGACATGTATAACTTTATGAGGAACAAAACATCGTTCCCATGGGATTTTAGACTCTGCGAGCACCTGTTCTGCTGTGATTACCGAAAGGTGAATTGATTCTCTGTCGTTACTAGATGAAGGTGATAACCAATGATCAGCCCACGTTCTTTTATTAAGCACGTTAAGCAGGTATTTACCTAAGGGAAATAAGTTGCTGTTTCTTTAGTTGACGGAGATAGG